TCACCATTTGGGTATGTGAGTCTTCTCATGAAACACCCTGTATATTTTTCCCGTGTATAATACACTTTTTTTGTGACAGGAAAAAGGACGAATCAATATCGAGAAGATATTACATTATTACACTTTTTTCCCTTAGGAAAAAAGTGATTTATGAAAAGTGACATTTCGTAACCTGTCAACAGATATATCAAATGTCGAACTTTTTCACAGAAAAAAGTATTTTATTTCCTAAAAATATCGGAAATGGACATCAACTTCGTAATTTTTTGTCGGAAGCTATATTTTTTATTGCTTTTCCTGATTCATCATGTTATTCTAGAATAATCTTCATGAAACTTCTCTGTGGCCTATATACCTATAAGTCCTAGGTTTAGCTCCTGGGGCGTTCCCACTTTATTTCTGGTGGGGTCAGATTACAAATGCGAATTCAGAATCGCACCCATTTATTTTCACATAGGTCGTTTATAGTTACATCATAATTTCGAAATTTTTTCAATGCCACCGAAATTGGAAAATATACGAATTCTGTGGAGTACCTAAGTTTTATATCAAGATCAGAATTCTTGTCACCAGAAAATGATCTGTTCTTATGAATAAGAGTTCACCTTTCTATTCACAATGAATGAAATACCTGGTGGTGCATTCTCATTCGAGTTAATCCAGGGCCTACTCTATCTCACCTAGAGTATGCCCTGGTTAATCTCACTCATACAAACACACTCTTCATGATCGATGATCAAATAACAAAACACTAGCAAAAATACACATTATGTACTAATACTAAACTAATACACTAACTAAACACAAAAAACGGTAAAATGGCTGATGAACAACGAACAATCGATAATGAGATTAGAGAGAAACCGTCTTATATAAAATCAACAACGAGTTAAAAGATTTACATGGTGAATCTGAAAATGGGTTTTCTTTATTTAACATGATGTTACCTATATCCCACCAGAATAAATTGTTTGGCCAAAAATTGTTCATGCAAAAAATGTGAGATAACGGATGTACAGGCATTTCAAGGTTTTGTACATAGAAAATCTAATTTTATCAATCTGAGTTTTATTAGAGAAAATCACAAATTAGTAGATTGAAAATGTATGTGAAAGAGGTTCTTGATTGAATTTTCTGATGAAATAATGCAACAGTAGGGTATCTAATGCTGGACTAATAACGGCTTATTTGCATTTTGTTGAGAAAATGAAAGCAAAATGTTTTATAGTTGGAGTATCATCTGAACCTTTAATTAAATACCTGTACCTCCGGTATGTTGAATATTTTATGTGAGCAATGTTCTGCCTAGCAACTCATTTTGGTGACATATAGAACCTGTTGAAAAAACTCACTTCCAGATACACCCTACCCTGTATACAATCCTAGTGCTGACATTATGATACATACTACGAGCATACTACGCAGGTATATCAACCAATGTTATTACTTGCTTGTTGGCCGTAGTAGTTTTACGTAACAAGTGCAGAAAGTAGTTGATGGGTTTATCCTATGAGTGTTTTTGTCCATATTATGTATAAAAAAACGATAATAATGCTACAAAACGTCACATAAGACAGAATAGTTGTAGATTGTAGATGGGTCGTATAGGCTGGGATACCTCTCGATCACTGCGACCTAGAAGATCTATTGTGATTGACAGAATAGTTACATATATATCATTTAGGTATTCCTGAATATCCTCATTTTCAACAATACAAAAATTTCAGCACTAGTGCATTGAAGTTAATTTTCCGCACGACTTCACCGATTTACCGTGCAGAAAAGTAAAAATCGTGTGGAGTAACTTTTATACACTAGTGCGGTGAAGTATCTTTTCCGCACGATATATGGATACATCGTGCGGGAAAGTAAAGATAATGAGGAGAATCGTATAGAAAAGTAAAACCTTCAGAAGAAAATATCATGCGAGAAAGTTTCTTCTCTGCACGATCGTGGGAAAAAGTTCTTGGTGCATTCGCATTCCCAGGTATTGTACATCCATTTATTGTAAGAAGGTCAGTGCTAGGGCCACGATAATTTTTCACGCCTGCATGACCCTCCTCTGCACGACCCTGGCAGTAACAGAAAAAAAAGTGACTTTCGACGCAGCGCAGCAGAGATTACGATCCCAGATATTTTTGATGAAGTGGGAATGATCCGCACGAGTGCTTACGAGGCGCCACCGCATGACGGCTTCGGTCGCCTGTCCAACCCCCACGGCTAGGGGTGGATTTCCACCAGGGGCGTAACAATCATCTACAGTGTGCCTTTCTGATATCTTGAGTTTCCCTCCGTGGAACATTTATTTTGATTGGGCAATGTTGGTCGGATTTTTTTTTCAGGTACTATATCAGGTGTTTCAGATTTCTTACCTACTACTAATATGTACTTGAAACAAATCAATGTCGCCGCCCATACTCTCTTTCAAATATAATCAAATATTCTTCAGGAGGCTAGGCAACCCCCTTTTCATTAATACAGATTCGAAATCCGTGCGCGCATCTATGTCGGTTATGGTTATGAGGGGATTTCCGAAATGTCTTGCGCTGGTCATTTCACTCTTGAACGGGCAGTTTTCTCATCCAAATGGAGAATTTAACATCCACGATGATCGAACCCAAATTTGGTGTTTCATGTTTTATATATGTGCCCAATGTTCCTTTGGAAATTAACGCATCAAAGTTGACAGTTCGCCGAATGAGTGACAACCGAGAACACAATAGATTCACGACAACCATACGCCTAACCCTTGCAACGCTTGCTTGGTACATATTCCTGAGGAATCTTCAGTTCAAGGAATATTGAATCTTTTTGATTGAATAATATGCTTTTTGGTAGTAGGTTGAATATCTTAGTATATTCGTATCGTAAACTCATATAACGATAATTGATGTGTTATCAAACGAGGCCCATCTGATATCGTAATATGAGTCTTTACAATACTCGTATCGTAAATATCTATTTAAAAACAGCCAATATGTAATAGCGTTTAATTTGTTCCATTATGGTTGCGGTGGTGGGAACAGAATGACGTTTACAAATAAAAGGAGAAACTTCATGATCTTGCATAAGAGAATTCACATAAGAGGTTATATTTGTATATGGGGGATCCAAATAATTTCAAAATCATTATACTAGAGTTCAGAATTTAAAAAATGAATCAACTACTATTTGGAGCAGTGATTCTGTTGATTGAAGAAACTTCTCTGAGATCGAGAAAATTTTTTTATCTGGGAATGAACATATGAAACCTGTCTTACTTGAAAGAATCATGAACTAGTGAAACTCACGATGAAAATGACTCCTAAATGTCTTTTACTTCCAGAAAGTTTCGTTTTTTGTCAATCTAATTTGATTTTTTGACATCTTTTCAACAGTCATTCCACATCATTCCTAGTAGTGAGACGGAATGAAAAGTAGCAACCGGAATCGGAAAAGTTGCAAATAAAACGACACATCAAACTGATTCCGGTGGCCAAATCGGATAAAAAAAACACAAATAATATCTCAGTGATTGCTGCTTGGTAAAGAAATTGAATTTACACTTTTGTTGAACTCAAATTATTTTGAAGTCGTCGATGGCAACTTGTGCCAATTCACCTCTGAAAATCCACCCCCAACTTCAATTATTCAAGTACTACCCTATACATTTTTTTATTGATTTGTGAAATGAAATCAATTCTGATTTCAACGATGTATCACACTTGAAAATTTCACACCAAACATTTTCGATCAATTTAAAGCCTGTATTCCGTATCGTTACCATAGCAACTAAACAAATTTCTTGGAAATGTTTTCCTCCTCCTTGGGAAACGGAGCATGAAATTACACAGGAAATGTTTTGACGTTTATAGGTTGAATGATATTTTCATTCAACTTCAGATTATTTCGAGTTGATTCCATAAGTCAATAAATAAAAATCATTTATCAACAGTTTACCATATAATATTATGTAGGTACACTTGGAAATTCAAAATTTACAAAAACACGTGTTGTTACTATACGTTAGTTCCTACATTTCATCACAAACAACCTCATTTGGGTTTGCCAAAAGTGTCATTGTTTAATTTTTTCCAGATTCATAATTGAGATACCCTGTAGGTACACAGTGTGTCTCACTTTGAACGTCACAACCCTTGTATTTTCCTATTTTTGATCGATTTCAAATTTGTTTCTCCATGTGGTACTCAATACGATCCACATTCGAAAAATTTGAATCCCCCAGAGGGGGTAGCTTGGAAAATCTTGTTAGTGAAACTTCAATTATTGGAGTAGGTATGCACTAATTTCGTTGAGAATTAATTCTGATATCTTGTTCAAACAACATCCTCTGTATGATAACTACAGAAGAACTATTGAGAAAATGCTCTAGCAACATGGAACACCTGAAGATAACCATGAGTTTTCTCCCGGAAAATGGATAATTCCTAATACAAAACGTCCTGGTACTTACATTTTTTGATACTTACATATTATGATATGGGCAGCATAATGCCAATTTGGAAGTCAGCAATCGATGAATGAGTGTTATGTACTGATTTTAATATAATAATTTTGGTAGTGATGAATCGAATAACGATTGAACCAATAATGAGAATGCCTTATCGATTCGGGTTCTATTTATATTTGAAATCGATGCTAGATTCGCAATTTTCCTTTCGATATTGCTTACCTGGTTATTATCGCACGGTAAGCGGTTTTTGCGAATTCTAAAGGAACAGACGTCTATGAACTCTACTGACCTGATCAAAACTACACTGTACTGGATGTTTTAGTTTGGAAGAGTTAATTTATGATGAAAAATCCTGAAATGAACGAGAGTTTGAGTGATGTTAATTCATAGGCATTTATATTTCTTAAAATATAACAGTCGGTACATATAAGTGTCCATTCCTATAAATAGGGTTATATCTTTAATCGGGCCACGTTTCATATGGAATATTATGAAACGCAATTCGTCAATCAGCCTCAATGATTATTTAGAGTAATTATTGTTTCAGATCCATATCAGATGTTTGGACCTACGAGTAGTCGTTTAGCGAGTTCAGGTAAGCCTTTTCTTAATCCGAAATAAATTACGTAGATCATATAGCTAATTGTGATTACCTCATCAACTACTTGCCCACTTCTTGCGATATCGTTGTATATTAATTGCCTCCAATATACTGAATAAAGGATACATGATGGTAGGTACTTATTTGTATTCCGAAGGAAACAACTGGGTAGATAACTTTTTTAATTCTTCTTTGACGCCTGCATAGGTTTGTATGTTTTTTTAATTGGTTTCAATTTATGGACATTGATTCACAAATAAATAACATATAGGAGAGAAATGCTATGAGATTCAATCAGAAGTCAAATCAAAACCCTTGAGGAAATTCAATACTTTTTGATACACTCTGAAAGGATCGCTCTCACTCTCGCTGGTGATTTCTGGAAAATTTCCATCAGGATTCAATAAATGTAACAAATCCATTCAATACTAAGAGTCAGCTAGCCCTCAGAGGCTCACAACTTGTGAGTAAGGAAATGGTGATCCCGAGGTACCCTAGACGGATATTCACCAAACTTCAACTTGTCATGGGTGATATCCTCTTCTCTCTCAATTTTTTGATCTATCCTATCGGCATTCCTTGGTCAACTTCTCTTTTCCTCTTCCCCTTCAAGCCCAACCTCACCATCAAGTGGTCTGGAAAGGCTGCTCGATAGATGAAGCATTTTGGGACAATATTTGCTGTCTTGCGCCAGATGGGGCCTAGGTGGCCGAGGACTGGTCAACGAGGCTCTGGCAACCTAATCCAAGCTGTGGGAACCCGTGGCGATGGATGAATGGCACCGAGCTATGGTGTCCCTAACGGAGCCTCTGGGAAACAGTGTACATCTCAGAGTAAACAGCCTTAGCCCTGTGCAGGGGGCACCACAGGGCTGGAACAACCCTTTCCTCCGTCATTCGTTGGAGAAGGAAAACTGTTTACTCTCTTCGTAAACGAGAACAGGGATCGGAAGGGTAATCTTCAGGAACCAGAACGAAATGGTTCTTTATTATTGAAGTGGATCTTAATGAGCACCATGAGTCGTATATGGTGAAAATGATAATAGTAGGGGAGGCAAAGAGGCTAAATAGGGATTTACTCGAGCGTCGTGGGGACGTATCAGATTAGATGCGAAAATGAAAAAAAGTTTATATGATATATGACCTTTTACTGGTGGAGAGAGAGTGTACAGGGTGGGCCAAATTCGATGGGATATGGGGTTCTCTCTGAAACTATCAGTGCTAAACAAAAACCGACCACGGTGTCCTGAGCTTGATTTTCGTGAAAAAAACAATGGCGCAAACCGCGATTGTCTATCTTTTTTGGCTGCCGAACTACAGAGCGTTTTTGAGATTTTACCTTTTATTAGTGACGTCATTATCTCGATCACCGTGAGTCCTGTCAAAAAGTAAATAACACTTTCTCATAGCAATCTTTTGAGTTGAATTGATTACTGATAAGAGCAAAATTATTCATCGAACAGTTTTCGAGATTTGAACCTAATTTAATTTTTGTAAATGGGACACCCTGTAAATTATTTCACCATTCGATCATAATTTCAATTACTTTTCGAACGATATATCATATTATGCTATAGTTACTTTGAGAACAAGTGGTTGTTTTTCGAAAAATCTGATATGAGTCCATGAAAAACTGAAGAAAAATATAATAACTAACTAGCTTTATCGAATTCACAAATATTCACGTTTATTTGATAATTATCATTCAAAACTGTGAGAAAGTTCGAAATATTCAGTTCAACCGAGGTGCGAATTGTTTCCTATTGTCGTCTTTCAATTGCATTTCATTATGTTCCTTATACTTCTCAAGATGGCCATGGAGAAATGACAACCATAATCCATTAATTATTATTGTCAACTGTGACGCTAATTCACAAAAAATGGTTCAATTTAGTAATGAAGAGAGATATGCTCAAGTGTTTTATCGAAAGTGGAGAAGATGGAAACTTAGCTTCTGAACTTTATTTCACTAGGTAAGTGATAGAATAATCGACAGTGAAACGGTTGTCCAAAATTAACAGTCAAATCATCTTATAGATACCCAGAGAAAATACAACCAAACCCAAAAATATTCAGGAGGTTACAGTCAAATTCGAAAGATTTTGGATCTTTTGTCAAACCTCGCCCAAAAATTTATTATAAACCAGAAAGAGAAGCTGCACAAAATATAATAGTAGAAACTGTCAGAGATAATCCTAATATATCATCCCGCGAAATAAAAGAAAATTTAGGGATGCCAAAAACAACTGTGTTACGTTGCCTACGGAAGAATAAATTCAAACCGTACCGAATTAGAATCACCCACCACTTGTTCCCAAACGATTTTCAAAGACGTTTAGATTTTTGACACTGGTTTTTACACAAGTGCAATAAATCGCCAGGTTTTGAAGGAACTGTCATATGGACGGACGAGACCCATATAAGCAGTGCCGGAATCTTCAACAGACATAATAACCATCATTGGGCTCAAGAAAATCCCTATGCTACTGCAACGGTCAATCGTCAAGGACGATTTGGATTTGGTGTATGGTGCGGTTTAATGGGACACCAAGTGATAGGCCCATATTTTTACCGCGGTAACTTGAATTTCGAAACATATATTCAAATTCTACGACAAGAAGTTGAAACAATTATAGATAATTTGCCTGTGAGACAATTCCAAAGAATATATTTTCAACATGATGGGGCGCCAAGCCATAAATCATGTGATACTAGGAAATATTTGAATGTTCAATTTGGAGAAAATTGGATAGGAATGTTACTCAGAACTATTGTAAAACGCATATATATATTTCGATCATGATAGCATTGAGAGTTTCTTCTAAATTATTTAATGCACCAAAGTAGACGTTAGAATAATTAGCTCATTCAAATATTATTTTATTTGTAGGAAACAATGGTCCTATTTTGTGGCCAACAAGATCTCCTGATATCACCCCTTGCGATTTCTGGCTTTGGGGTCATTCGCAGAATATGATATATAGAGAACCATCTGATAACATCGAGGAATTGGAAAACAGAACGTTAGCTGCGTTTCGAAAAATAACTCCTATAATGATAAGAAATGCCACGAATGCTGTCAAAAGGAGATGTCAGAAGTGCATAGATGTCAATGGAAGACAATTTGAAAATTTATTTTAATGATTCTTTTCAAGTTTTTTTCATATTCTTATAATAATACTTACTTGATAAAATTATTATCGATCTACTCCCTGAATATAAAGATTTTCGAAAAACAACCACTTGTTCTCAAAGTAACTATAGCATATGATATATCGTTCGAAAGGTAATTGAAATTATGATCGAATGGTGAAATAATTTACAGGGTGTCCCATTTAAAAAAATTAAGTTAGGTTCATATCTCGAAAACTGTTCGATGAATAATTTTGCTCTTGTCAGTAATCAATTCAACTCAAAAGATTGCTGTGAGAAAGTGTTATTCATTTTTTGACAGGACTCACGGTGATCGAGATAATGACGTCACCAATAAAAGGTAAAATCTCAAAAACGCTCCGTAGTTCGGCAGCCAAAAAAGATAGACAATCGCGGTTTGCGCCATTGTTTTTTTCACGAAAATCAAGCTCAGGACACCGTGGTCGGTTTTTGTTTAGCACTGATAGTTTCAGAGAAAACCCCAAATCCCATCGAATTTGGCCCACCCGTACAGGTGTTTAAAAATGTTTTAAAAAACAGTCACAATGAAATACTCGAGCGCATCAGATATTAATAGTGTATGCGCCCCACGTGTTTCTGATAACCGAAAAATATCAATCTGCCGGTTTGCATGGTGGGGTGGAGCAAGAGATTCCTATCTCCACTCTCAGAGTGAATAAAGTGCAGGACAAGCTGAGATGGAATAGGAAGTTCAAACTTACCATTCCAAGCAGAGAGGAATAAAGAAACAATACAGTAGAGTTTCGTCCAGGAAGCTCAGCTGACAAACAGGCCTCGGGTGCAGGAATCTATCTCGAAGGGGGAAACATACGAGAAAGCTACGCTCTAGGAAAATACACCACAGTTTTCCAAGCTGAGGTGTTCGCCATCCTGGTCGTAGCAGAGAGACAAGTTGTGAAAGAGGGACCAGAGCAAAAGATCTACATCTGTTCGGACAGTCAGGCAGCACTCAAGGCAATCTGTCATCCCAGACCAAGCTCAGCATTGGTACAGGAATGTGGAAATGCCATTGAGATATTGGCAGAATCAAAGGAAGTTGAACTGGTATGGGTCCCGGGTCACAGTGGGGTGCCCGGAAACGAAACAGCAGACGAACTTGCTAGGGCCGGATCCGCGGAGCCGTTTGTGGGGCCGGAGCCTGTACTAGGTATAGCAAGGAGCCAAATTACGTCAGCCCTCGATGAATGGGCGGACAAGGCACTAGGAGAATACTGGAGAAATATCACAGGTTGCAGGCAGGCTAAGGAATGCATGGCCGGTCCAAGCAAATCAAGGAAGGAGTGGCTGCTTGGCAGAGACCGCCAAGTACCTCGCTTCCTCATGGGAGTACTCACAGGACACAACAAGCTAGGCAGACACCTATCACTTATGGGAATAGAGGACAACCCCACTTGCCCACTTGCGGGGAAGACGAGGAAACGTCACTCCATTTCCTCGGCGAGTGCGAGGCGTACGGAAGGCTGAGATTTGAAATCTTTGGAGTAGACAAACTTCAACAGGAGGACTTGATTATATTAGAGTGGACGGACCTACTGGCTTTCATCAGAAGGTCAGGGAGATTCGTAAAGGAAATCTAGGTGAAAGAAGCGTAGATATGTGGAGAGCAGGGGTTAGCAAAAAGGACCCATCGGGGCTTACTTGCTTGGCTACAGCCTCTCCACCTACTACTACTACTACTACTACTACTACTACTACTACTACTACTACTACTACTACTACTACTACTGCATGGTGGGGGTGGCCGTACGAAGGGATAGAGAATAGGTAAAAAAAAATTATTCGAGCGCGTCAGATATTGAGAAGGTATACGTTAAGCGAACC